CCTACCGTTTTCCTTTTCCTTTTTCCTTTTTCCTTTTTCCCCTTTCCCCTTTCCCCTTTCCTTTCCTTTCCTTTCCTTTCCTTTCCTTTCCTTTCCTTTCCTTTCCTTTCCTTTCCTTTCCTTTCCTTTCCTTTCCTCCTCCATATTTCACAGCTGTCCCAACACTCTGGCTGCAGCAGGACAGTTTTCCCACATTTGCTGCTGCCTGGAGCTGTGTTCGGGCACCCACTGGGGGTGGGATTGTCACCTCTGCAGGTGACACAGCCACTCTGGCAGGCCCTGCCCCAGCTCTGGGTGCTGCAGGACAGAAATTGCTGTGCTTGGAGCAGCTCCCAGCAGGGCTGGAGCTCCTGCTGCAGTTTCCTGTGAGCAGCTCTGGGGGAAAGAGAGCTCCAGCCCTGCTGGGAGCTGTCATTAACTCCCACTTGGGCTTGCAATCAATTGGGGAGGCAGCAGTGCCTGCCAAGGCTCCTCCTGTGCCAGGCTGGGAATTGAGAGCCAGGGAGGGTTTGGATGGGAAGGTGAGGCAGGTACAGAGGTGAGAACATCCCTCACCTGGGGCTCAGCACAGCTGGAGCATCTTTCATCAGGATTTGGGCACTGCCCAGGTCAATCCTGTGGGACAGGAGGGTTTCCAGCCCTCCTTGAAACCTTTTTGATGCTGAGGCAGGAGGAGAGGGACAGGTGGGGACTCCAAAGGAAGTAAGGGAGGGAGGGAGGGAGGAAGGGAAGCTGTCGGTGTTTATTTATTTGTTCTGTAGTTACAGCTGGAAAAAGCAGGATGGGGCTGGCTGCCAGTGTCTCTAGGGAGACGTTTGTTAGTGCCACCAGCTGTCCCCTCGGCATGGAGAGCACGGCTGAGCCATGACTCACCCGGCCAGGCTCTTATTTCACTCTCACATCTATCCCAAAATGTTTCTCCGGCCCCACAATGCCATAAAAGCTCCCTTTTCCTGGCATGGCCTGTGGCAGGCAGGTGTGGGTGATGGGGAAAGGGAACAGCCAGGTTAACTCCAGGAATTCCTGCTGCAAGGAGAGGGACAGAAAACGACCTGCAAGGGACACAGGCATCCAGCAGAGATCCCTGTTTGGGGGTAAAAGTCATCAGAGTGTTCAGAGGTGCCTCTAAAGCCACTGAAGAAGCTGCTCTGGACTCAGATGGATGCAGGAGCTTCAATATCCAAAACTCCAGCAAAGCCTGGAAGCCTCTCCCAGTGCAGGCTGTCCCTTAGCCCTGCCCTGTGTGTCCCCTGTGCTGAGCTGTGATCCCCTGGCAGGGATCTCTGTGAGGCCCGAGGGAGCTGGGAAGGGTTTGGAGAATGCTGAGGGATCTGGAAAGGGGCTGGAGAGTCCTGAGGGAGCTGGGGAAGGGTTTGGAGAATCCTGAGGGAGCTGGGAAGGGTTTGGAGAATCCTGAGGGAGCTGGGAAGGGTTTGGAGAATCCTGAGGGAGCTGGGAAGGGTTTGGAGAATCCTGAGGGAGCTGGGGAAGGGTTTGGAGAATCCTGAGGGAGCTGGGAAGGCTCAGCCTGGAGAAAAGGAGGCTCAGGGGGAATTCCTGGCTCTGCACAAGTCCCTGCCAGGAGGGGACAGCCGGGGGGGATTTGGGATGTTATCCCCGGGAACAGGGACAGGAGGAGAGGGAACAGCCTCAGGCTGGGCCAGGGGAGGCTCAGCTTGGACAGCAGCAGGAATTTCCTCATGGAAAGGGCGGCCAGGCCTTGGAAGTGCCCAGGGAGGTTTGGAGTCCCCGTCCCTGGAGGTGGCAGCTGGAGGTGGCACTCAGGGCTCGGGGTGGAGATTGGACACAGTTTGGACTCAATGATCCTGGAGAGGTTTTCCAAGTTCAGTGATCCTGAGATTTTCTGAACAAATTCAGAGCTAACAGCAGGGACAGGTGGAGGGGAATCTCAGCACAAACTCTGTCTGTCAGGTGCACAATTTTGGGTCCCCTGAGTGCTGCTGGGAGGCCCCTCCTGAGCCCCTGGGGACACATTTGGGGTCACAAAGAGCCACCAAAGCCAGCAGAGCCCTCAGCCACCTCCAGCTCCGACGCAGAAACTCCGTGGTGCCCTTTTATATTTTTGGCTGCAGTGGGGGGAGGATCATGGGTGTTCCAAGCACTGCCCTAGAAGGAGCTGGGGAGCAGCTGAGAAAGGCTGGAGAGAGGGGGAGCCTCAGTGTCACATTCCCCAGATTAGATTAGAGCTCAGTGCTCGGAGGGGCCAGGCTAAAGCTGCAGCAAAATTGGGACCCCAGCCATGAAGAGCTTCCAAAAATAAAGCAGAGTGGGTCAGAGGGATTGGAGAGTCTGAGATGCTTCTTGAAAACATCAGGATTAGGAGGAAATGAGCTGTCAGTCATTGGGAGAGGATTCCCACCCCAAAAGCAGCCCCTGAAATGTCAGAGGTGACAGCAATTGGACAGGGGAGGTGGAATTTGAACGTTGTCACCACACAGGAGGCAAAACACCACCCCTGCCCTGCAGGAAAGTATTCTAAGCTTAAAAATAAATAAAATCCTGCACCGTGGAAGATATATGTTCCATGGATAGGATGTCTTGGAATTTGTCAAATCCTTGGTTGGGCTGTCACCACTGCCAGCTCTGTCACCTAAACAACACCACCTAAACAACAACTCATCAAAGGGGCTCTGTTCCCAAAAACTGCATCCATGGTGGCACTGGGGAAAAGCTCCAAAGGATATCCAGCAAGGCAGGGTGATGGCAAGGGGGCTGGGAACAGCAGCCAGAATTCATTATCTGTGATAATTTGTTATTAATTTTCTCTGATTATAAATTACCTGCCTGATGGTGTGGATTTATTTTGTTTTGTGATGGTGCAGCCTCCTACTTGGCTCCAAAGCAGATATTGCCACTGATTTGATTATTATGGAATACCTGTCTCCTCCTCAAGCTAAGAGCAGGTTTTTCCACTAACACTGACTGAATACTCCATCCAATGCAGCTGAATATTCCATATTTACTCCAAGTTTGCTGCTGGTGGTTTCTGAGCTAAGTGCAGAGCCCACAGTACTGGAGGTTTGATTTCCAGTGTGCTTTGATTCCAAAACCCTGCACAGCCACACTTTTTCCACTTCCTTTGCCCCATGGCATGGCCAGGATTGGTCCCTGGGAAAACCTCACCCAGGTTTTTATTAAACTCAGCTCAGGCAGGATTGATACAAACTGTAAATGATTGAAATTGAGAGTGAGACACTGGGACAGTTTTGTGTAATCCTAAAGGGAACAAAAAAGAGAGGGAGAAATCCCTCCAACCCAGATATATCCCAGTGCACCAGGAACTTAGGGAACACTCAGGCAGTGGGGAGGAAAATGCAGAACAATGGGAGAAGCAGCACTGCTGCCCACTGGGAATTCCAGCTAGACTTTCAAATATTTGGGAGAAGGTTCTGGCTTGGATTTACAGCTCCAAGGAAGAGAGTTCCCCCTCGGAGTCCTGTATGAGCAGGGTGGGAAGAACCACAGGTCTCCTCCTGGGATGCTCCAGGTGATCCAGGAAGCCAAACACACCAAACCCAGGGATTTTCCAGCAAAACAGCCACGACTTCTTCCCTTCTTGCCTGAGCCAGGCCAGGCTGAGCTGGTCCTTCAAGGTCAGCCATGGAATCCACTGGCAGGGGAGGAAGAAAGCTGTGAGGCACCCTGTGCCAGCCGCCTGTCACCCCAGGGGATAAATACCCACTCGAGCTTCCAGGATTTTCCATCAGGGAAAATTATGGGCTCATCCCGCCCACTGCGAAGCTGTCGCTTGGTTTGAAATTAAAAGGGGAGCAAGAGGGACCGCTGAAAGGAGCTGGAGGGAGCAGGGGAAGGAGGTGACACCCGAGAGCCCTTGCGCACCCAACCCTGTCCAGCCCCTGCCGCCGCCGCTTTGTTCCATATTTAGTTCCTGACAACTGTGCCTGGGGCAGGAACTCCCAGCTCTGTTTTCCCTCCTCCCTCGACTCCCAGAGCTCTCAGAAATTGTTCTTTCTCTCTCCCAGTGGCCACAGCTCAGTCCCAGTGTCCTGGGGAAGATGGCAGAGAAGCAGGAGGAGCCCAGCAACGCCCAGAACGGGGAACCCGACAACGCCGAGGAGGGCGAGGGGACAAAGAAGAAGGTGAAGAGGGAGGACCTGCCACCCTTTGAGATTGTGACAGGGTAAGAGACTGGAATTTAAATATGGAATTGGGGGAGTTCAGAGAGCTCTCTCAGCTTTTAGGTCGGGCAACACAAGCAGCATCTTCTGCCGGTGAGATTCTGAAGAGTCTGAAATGGTTTGGATTTATTGTGGGGCTTTGTTTTAAGTTTTGCTGACTTTTAGAGGATGGACTCCCAGCAGGCAGGCACAGAAGTGCACTTGTTTTATAGGAAGAGTTTCTGCAGTGCTGGTTCCCTTCCAGCCCCACTGATGGGATGGGGATGGAGGTGTTGGCTTTGATGAGAGCGCGGTATTGATTTCTTGCTGTGATCAATGGCTCTTGTCTGAGAGTTTCTCCACCTGTGGATCAGGAAAAACACCCCTGCTATGGCTGATTGGCTTGATGGGCCTGAGGGACAGATTTTTCAAGAGACCTAAAGGTTCACATTTTCAAGAGCTCCACAGCCACAGCTGGAACCTGACTTTCATAAAGAAACGAAAAAGCCCAACTTGCAGAAAGGCTCCGAAACAAGAGGCAGTTTTGAAGGCAGCAGGGCAGCAGGGAGCCTGGCCTTTGGAAAAGCAGGATATCACAGGGATCTGGTGGAAGCTGAACTCTCAGCCATAATTGACAGCTGCAAGTAGGAAAAACCCTCGGTGTCTGCTCCCTCCAAGTGCTCACAAACACTCCCTGTAGGAGCAGCAGGACAAATCCTTCTCCCCTCACATTTCCCAGTCACCAAAGGAGTGTCCCAGCAAATAAACCAAACTCAGGATTTCTTCCAGCTACTTAAAAGTAAAGCTCAGGCCTCCAAAATATCCTCTGGAATCCTTCTGCCTGTGCCATGGGCTCTGGAGGTGAAATTTGGCTGCTTGTTCTGACCAGGATGAATGACGCAGGACTCAAAAACTGGGTTCCATTCCTGCCCAGGGGAGGAAAAATCTCCATTTTCTTCTCAAAAATGTGACTGCTGTGAATATCCCTTCTTGGGGCGGCCTCTGTCACATATAATCATAGAAATAAATGATTGGCAGTGGCTTGTAAGGAAAGAACATCCCTCTGCTAGGAATGGAGCTAAGGCACCAAAAATTGTGGATATAAACCGCTGGACCAAGTACTGAACACTTAAGACATGTCCTAAAATTAATTTTAATGAGGAAATCAGGTTTTCCAGCCTTGGAGCACTCAGCCTGCAGTTAGAAATGCTGAGGGACTGAGCAGGATGTCCAAACTTCCCTGCTAAGCCCCAGGCCCTGGGTTAACCATGGCTGAAAAACTCCCTTAGCACCATCCTGCAATTAAATCATTTACTGGAATGCCACGGCTACTCCAGGATTTGACAGGATTTTCCACTCTGCAAAGGGGAGAGTGAGGAAGTGAAGCAGAAATCCTAAAGGACCCCCAAAGAGGTACAGAAAGCACAGGGATTTTTTTTTTACTTTCATTTTAAGGAGGACAGCAGGAGATCAGGCCAGGCCTTGACCTGGGATCACCACGTGGATTTTTCCAATGATTTTCAAATTCCCAGCTAATCAAGGCAGTTATGGGAGTGATGAGGAAACACAACTACAGCCAGGGAAGAAGCACTTAAACCCAATTATGTTGCATTTCAGTTTTAGCCCTCGGATTAAGGGCATCTCAGGACTCCCAGCCAAGTTTTCCCTCTGCTGCTTACAGCTCCAGGATGAGTCTGGCTTCCAGGAATCATTGGGAAGCCAATTATTCTTTTTAAGAATATTATCCCATTTTTTTTTTGGCTGAACACAGCCTGTAATCCCAATCTGGGAGCATTTCCTGCTTTATTTTCACTTTCCCCAGGTGTAAATGAGGCTCCTTGTAGGAATAATTCCTTGTTACTCTCTTAGATAATCCATATGTTTTCCTTCTCTCCTGTGTGACAATGCCAGGGTCACACTGGGTAGCTGCTATTTTCTCCAGCCCACCTGATCTCAGCAACTTCAATCCCAGACTGAAGATTCTGCCTCAAAATTGCAATTTTTTTTGTCTCAATATGATCTATCACTTTGCTGCCCAGGGAAAACTGATGAGTCAGGTTGGAGCATTTAGAAATCCATAAAAAATACTCTTTAATGATGCTTTTCAGGGAAAGTTTCAATTTTCACCTTTCCGATCCTCAGAGTGAGCTGTGTCACCCCAGCCTGGTGTCAGAACAGGGGTTTATGTTGAGAATATTGGGGAATTGAGTGAATAGTTTTTAAATTATTTCCATAAACATTTTCACTTTCCACATGCCCCTGACAGGAGGCTGGAGCCAGGTGGGGATCAGCCTCTTCTCCCAGACAACAGGATGAGGAGAAATGGCCTCAAATGGTGCCAGGGGAGGACATCAGAGGGAATTTCTACATGGAAGGGGTTGCCAGGCATTGGAATGGGCTCTCACTGGAACGTTATTAATTGAACTAATGCAGATTCCAAATGGCTGGGAGCAGAATCGAGGTGAACATCCCAGCTAAGCTCAGGCACATGCCAGGATAAGCAATAAAATCCATCTGGAAGGGCTGGCTAAATGCAACTCCCAGTCAATCCAGCCTGAGTCAATCCATCCTGGAGCAGGTTGCTGCTGCTTCAGCTGTTCCATGAAAACCCAGAGCCAACCTTGTCACTGCTGTGACCCCTTTGCTGTCAGAGAGTTAAATCAGGGATGAAATTCCCTTTGCCTCTGATGTATTTAAAAACCTGATGTTACTGTGAAACCACTCATTGCAGGCATCGCTCTAGAATGGGTGTCTCGTGTCTGCCCTTCAAAAAAACATTAATTAAAGAATCCTTAGCCAAAGAAGCACTCATTATCCAGGACACCAAGCAGGAAAAGCGTTATTCTTGAAAGCACGTGCATTTTTCCCACTCTTTTACATCCCTTTCCCTTCCCACCTCCAGAGCCATTCCATGAGATGTTCCATCACGAGGTGATCTTGGAGTCACAGAAGGGAAGATGTGGGCAGTAAATTAAAAGAGTAGGTGAAGTGGATTTTATCAGTAGGGAGTCCAGCAGGAAATCCACACTTTCACAGCAAGGTCAGATTTGATCCCGGATACTTTATAAACCTTGGAACACAGAGAAATCCAGGGAGATGCAGTGATTTGTCCACAGTCCCACACAGGGGTGACTCAAGAGCGTGACCCTTACCTAAATCTGCCTCTGAGCCTCCTCTCTGCTGTGTTCCCAGGGAACGCCTCCCGGCCATCTTCTTCAAATTCCAGTTCAGGAACGTGGAATACAGCTCAGGCAGGAACAAAACCTTCCTGTGCTACGTGGTGGAGACGCAGGGCAAGGAGCCGGTGATGAGCCGCGGGTACCTGGAGGACGAGCACGCGGCCGCCCACGCCGAGATGGCTTTTTTCAACACCATCCTGCCCACGTGCCAGGCGGGCACACGCCACGACGTCACCTGGTACGTGTCCTCCAGCCCCTGCGTCACCTGCGCCCAGAGGATCTGCGAGGCCCTGCGCAAGAACAAGGGGCTGCGCCTCACCATCATGGTGGGCAGGCTCTTCATGTGGGAAGAGCCCGAGATGCAGGCCGCCCTCAGGAGCATGAAGGAGGCCGGCTGCAAGCTGAGGATTATGAAGCCTCAAGACTTTGAGTATGTCTGGAAGAACTTTGTGGAGCAGGAGGAAGGGGAGGAGGCCAAGTCTTTTGTGCCCTGGGAGGATATTCAGGAGAATTTCCAGTACTATGAGGAGAAGCTGGCTGAGATCTTGCACTGAGGCTCAGGTGAGTGAGGGGCTCACTCATTAACTCTCTTTAATCTGGGTTCCAATTTCTCTTGCTGTCAGCAGAATATTCCAAACAATTCCAGGCAGTGGTTTCCCCTTTCCAGGGGCTCCCCCACAGCACACCCTCAAGGGATTTAGTGCTTTTCTGTTTTCCCCTCCAGGAATAAAGAATAAAAAGGTTCCAGGGCCACCAGAACACCTCCCTGTTCCCCACAGGGATGATGTTCAGGACAACAGGGAGAGGAGTGCTGACTGAAGGGGATTCTACTCACACCTCAAAGTCTAACACTAAAAAACACCATTAAAGGAAATCTCAGTTGTTGCAGAATTCCCTTTTTTATGGGGTATTGCAGGGTCACCTCTGAGTCTCTAGGATGTCTCTTTTTCCCTCCCCAGGATCACAAAGGATCCATGAAGAGATGTGACAGACCTGGACATCTGGAACAGTCCTGCTTCCCAAAGCTTTGATTCCAGCAGGATGGAGAACCAGCCTCTGGGAGACAAGGCTCTGTGGGACTCTGAACACACACACACACAACACAGACCTCTGGTGTTTGGGATTTTTTGGGTGTTTTTTGTTCCTCCCCCTCCCTGCCCCAAACAAACCCAAGCTGTGGTGAAAGGGATGGCAGTGATCCACAGGCAGGCTGTGGGATCACAGTCTGGGAATATCTCATGGGAAAAGACCTCAGAACAAAGCTGCTGGTTAGATAAATGAATTAGAAAGGGGAAAAGAAAGGGGTTTAAGGTGAAAAAGAAGTTTTCTCCCTCTGTTCTCCTCAATAGTCAGAGCTGTGATTTAATTCAGGGCCAACAGCTCTCTTCCAAATCACGACAGAGCCCGAGAACTCGGTATCAAACAACGATGTTTGGGATATAAACCTGGGAAAAGCGAAGTGAAATAAAATGGGAAGCCACTGCAAAAGCCAAAGCACTGTTTATTCCTTCTTCTCTACTTGCAAGAAGTCCTAAATTGAACCTGACAAGTCTGAATTCAAGGACATCCCAGGACAGCCACACAGGGAATATTTTGTAGCTGGGAAGGGAGAACTAAATGCCAAAAGAATTTCCAGAGTACACACAAGTGTTGGAGAGCAGGATCATTTTCCATGTAAAACAAAGCTTATGGGGATGCCATGAGTAAGGAACCAGAACAACAACCCAGACACAAATAAGGGGAAGGACTGAATCCATGAGCAGCCTCAATGCCTGTTCTGGATCAGCTCATTGCTCCAAATTCCTCTTTATCCAAGGTTGTTTTTCCCAGCTACAGCAATTCCCCACCAAACAGGTTTACAAAATATGGGCAAGGAACAGGGAGATCTTAAAGACAAACAGGATTTGTAGCAGCAAAAAGCCACACAGAACTGAGCAACCCAGTCCCTTCCCAAGGAAATCCAATTGGGAACCCTGCCATGCTTCAAAATTCCCAACTCTTACATTCCATTTTTATATTTTTTCAACACACCTGTCACTTTCCTGGGCATTCAGAATGAGAGAAGTCCAAAGGATTTGTTACTGTGGGAGGGTGGGAAACCAAACATGAAGGACATGTTTCTGGCAGTTCCTCAGTTCTGGAACAAACTCTTCCAGAATAAGGAGCTTTCTGTGGATCTCAGGAACAAGGGGTGGTACTGATTTGCTTTTGTTTTGGGTGACAAACACCAACCTTTGTGTAACACCTGGACTACAAATCTAACAAACAAAGAAATGGGAAAATCCCACCTTAAACTCCATCCTGTGAGTTTTTAGAGCACATCAGCCCGTTTGGATCCTCACCAAACAGAGCTCTGCACCCTACAAATTATAGAGCTGCTGTATAAAACACAGCCACCAGGTGTATTTCCTCACCTCCAGCAATCCCAGCCTGTCCCCAGAACAGCCACAGGTACCAACCCAACAGCAGGGCACCGTTTATTTAACACCACAGCATGATCCTGAGTGAGCACAACCCCAGCAACCCCCATTTGTGGCCGGAAGGGAGAGATGAAACCGTTCCACCCGTGCGAACAGGGAAGTGACCCGAGTGCCAGGCAGGACACGGCAAACAGAACAAAGCAGAGGTGCCAGCGCTGCCTGCGGCAGCTCATCAGCACCAACCCAAACAGAAACCCCGAGGCCTCACGAGGCAGCGGCTCCGTTTCGCTGCGTGGAGCCCCAGTGACACCTGGTGGCTGCAGGGACACACTGGGAGCTCCCCGAGACTTTTCACAGCGCCGCTGCCTCCTGCTAATTAACAGCCGAAATGAACTTCTCTGGGGCTTGTCGCTGATGGAAGCCCCTGTCGCTGTCGCACAAGTGAGTGACACCCGAATGCAGAACGTGCTCCCCACACAGGTCCCCCCTTAGTTCACAGGTTCTGCTCCCAAAGATGGGGGAAATGGGGATCTTTGTTCTGCTCACAGGCTGTAAACCGTGATCTTGATGTCAGTGTTCTCAAATACTTCCTCAAGGATTGCTGACACCTTTTCCCACTGCAGGCCATCAAGTCCACATCCAATCCTGCAAGATAAAGCACCAAAAGGTCCGTGGGGCCTCGTGCCCAAGATGGCCCTGCCTCAGCTGCCCATAAACCCACGTAGGGAGAACAAGGAAACAACTCAAATGCACAGGGAAATGCAAATTAGATTTGTCCAATTTAACAGAAGAGTTGGATAGAGGTGGATGCTTGAATTCTTATTTTACAGCAGGGGATTGTCCCTCAGACATCCTTCTAGAAATTAAACACCCAAGCTTTGGAATTCCAGCTCCCGAGCCCCTCACCTGGGCATGGAGATGTCGGTGACTCCGTTGTTCAGGCAATGAGCTTTCATGGCTTCCAAACTCTTCTGCATGCTCTCATACGTGGGCTTGTGAGAAACCTTCTGCTTTGTGATCTACAGCAAAATAGAAAAGCTCAGTGTGCCTTGGGCATGACCCCTGCAAACTTCTCTCTACTATAAATACTGTTACAGAACACACATTCCGTGATATCCCAAAACTCCACACCCAGACTTGCCTCTGTGGTAAGACCTGAGCAAAGAACTAAGAGTTTCACACTAACACAGTGTTTCACACCTTGAAACACTCTAATTTAGCAGCCAGTTCTGTCCATGTAAAGGTGAAATGCAGATGCACAGAACAGCTTGGCTGCTCCTCACCAGCAATGTTTGAGGACACATCTCTTATTGAGAGGAACATTCCAGAAACTCCCTCTGAGTGCCCAAAGGGAACCAACAAGACAGAGACGATTTACAAGGGCCCTGGAGGGACAGGACAACAGGAATGGCTTCACATTACCAAGGCCAGGGTTTGATGGGGTATTTGGAAGGAATTGTTCCCTGTGAGGGTGGTGGTGAAGCCCTGGCACAGGGCGCCCAGAGCAGCTGTATCTGTCTCATCCCTGGAAGTGTCCAAGATCAGACTGGACGGGGCTTGGAGCACCCTGGGATAGGGGAAGGTGTCCCTGCTCAGGATGAGCTTTAAGGTCCCTTCCCACCCAAACCATTCTGTGATTCCCTGATTCCATGAACATAACTCCCACAGCTATTAATGCCTGATATGTGACAGAGTTTAGCTCCAGGGAGGTGTCCCAGTGCCACCACAGCCCTTACCAGGTAGTAAATGTACCGCTCGTCCCTCTGCAGAACTGCCACCTCCCCCGTCTTCTTCTCTAAAGCACAAAAATCAGGTGTTTTTAAAACAGCCATACTCCATAACCCCAAGCAGCTCCAACACTCTCCCTGCTGGAACAAGGAGCTCCTTCAGGCACCACTCACTTTGATCCAGGAGCTCCTGGACGCCTCCAAACTTCTTCTTGAAGAGCACGGCAATGCCGGCACCCATGCGGCAATCCTCGCTGATGCAGTGAGCCAGAGCATCTGTGCCTGGGCACGAGAACAGGTCCCCCTTCACACACCTGATCTGCAGAGCAGGGACAACAAAACCGCCTCAGACAGCACACCTGGGCACACAGGGCTCTGGTGACTGGGCAGCAATAGGGCAAGGCTTGAGTTTGCTGTGCAGGGTACAAGTGTTTGAGCTAGCATGGGCTATGGACCCAAGGGAGGGAATAACAAACCCCAAATGTGGAATTACAAACCTCATAGACAGAATTACAAACCAAATTCACAGCATTACAACCCACACTCACAGAATTACAAACCCAATACAGATTATTACAAACCCACTACAGAGAATTGTAAACCCACTACACCGTCTCAACAAGATCATTTATGAGCATCACCTGCCAGCTCAGCAGGTAATCTTGTAAAATCAAAGCTTAAAAGGGTAATCATGTGACAGAGAGCACAGCTGGATTAGTGAAACCCCTCCAGCTGTACTGGTATCGAGGAGCTCAGGCAGGCAGGTGAGCTCTGTGCTGCTGCACCACAAAAAGCACACGGAATTCAGCACTGGCAGCCACTTTGCTCCCAACAGCTGCAGGATACAGCCAGTGCCGTGCTATCAGGGCTGTGTAATGAGGGGAAGGCCTCTTTGTACAAACAATAATATCCCATGTAACCCATTTCCTACGCACTCTCTCCTGATCCTTGGAGAAGTGGGTGGCCATGGTAACGTGAGGTATGGAGAAGGCTCCTGCGGCTGGAAAAATGAAAGAAAAACAGTTATTAGGAACCTCAAGCTAGGCAGTAAGAGTGTGCTAAAGAGGGCGAGGGTAAGCCTAATTGATCTATGACAGCAGGAGGACAACTATAACACCCCTGAAGATGTCGGCGCCCCTGAACAGGTCCCGCTGTGCCTACGGCTCCGGCCCGGGAGGAGGCCCCAGCCCTGGGTCACCGCACAGTGAGCACCCCCAGGCTGCCGCCCTCCTCCTCCTCACCATTATCGCCACCCTCCTCCTCCCCCTCCCACCCCTCAGGGCCACTCGGCCGCCGCACCCGCGGGGCGCACAACGATCAACCGGGCCGGGCCCACGGCCTGCGCCACGCCGAGCCTGCCCAGCGCCGCCCACATCGCTCCGGCCGAGCCGCAAGGGCGGCCCCGCCTCGGCCCGCACGGCCCCGCCTCACGGGCACACGGTACCGCCTCAGCCGGCACGGCGGCTCCGCCTCAGGGAGACATTGGCGATACCGCCTTAGCCGCTCCGCCTCGCGGGGACTTGGCGGATCGTTCTCAGCCCACACGGCGGTATCGCCCCACACAACACGGCGGTATGGCCGCACGCGACACGGCGGGCCCACCGTACGCGACATGGCGGTATCGCCACACACAACATGGCGCCGCCGCCCCGCACAACATGGCGGCCGCTCCGCGCGGGCGGGCGGACCCTCTCCATGGTCCCGGCCCAGAACATTCCAGGAAGGGGCGGAGCCTACAGGTGGGCGGGGCCCTGCCTGAGCGTGCGCGCCACGGCCCCCGCGCAGGCGCAGTGGAGCCGGGCAGGGCGAGGCGCGCGGTTGGGCGGCCGCGGCCGGGCGGGGCCCCGCCCCTCGCCCCCTTTGTCCGCGGTTGGGCGCCATTTTGCGCGGCGGGCGAGTGCGGGCGCTGATTGGGCTTCGGGGCCCCGCGGCGGAGCCAATCAGCGCGGGGCGCGGACCGGGCAGCGCGGCACGGTGAGCGCGAGCGGCCAATATGGAGCCCCCGCGCGCCGGGATTGGCGGGGCCGCGGCCACTCAGGGGCTGAGGGGGGAACCGGGGCCGGGCCGGGCCGGGCCGGGCTGGGCTGGGGCCGCGGGGCGAGCGGGGTCGAGCGGGGCCGCGAATAGCGGGGCTCGGGAACTCCACGGCCGGGCCGGGGGCGCGGGGCCGAGCGCCGCAGCGGGGCCTGGCTTCTTCCCCCGGCGGGGCCCGCAGCGCCCCGCCCTGCCCGGGAGCCTCCTCACTGGCGGAGGGGGCTGGGCTGCACCGTCCGGTCCCGGTGTGTGCGGTGTCGCCTCCCCAGATGTGTCCGGGCACGCGGTGCTCCGGCAACAGGGCCGGCCCTTG